GGTCATTTTCTGTGTATGAGAACTTCTCACTAATTTTACTCTGACTTTATACAGGCAAAAAGTATCAAGGCTTGAAAAGAAGCGTCAGGAACCTCAGAAGGCAATCGAAATCGGATGTAGAAGTAAGACAGGCATGGTTCGTTGAGATCCAAAAAGACATTGAAACCCTACGGCTCGGAACATACCTTATGCCTGATGAAGATGAAGTAGCGATGGCAGTTGCCTCTAAAACTCTTGTAAAGGTAAAACAAAATGGCTTATTTTTAAAAAAAACGGTCAACACGAAATAATTTAGCTTGTAGGTAACACTTGATAAAATTTCGTAGTTGTTCTTACATCCTGCTAATACTGACTTTGTGTTATTCTCGAGCAGGTGCCTCATGAACCAGCCGCAGACAATGCTGATGTAGAAATGAAAGATGATTCAGCCATCAGTAGGGTGGTATTTGCGCTTACGAATTTCAAGTTTAAAATAAATATTATATTTTGCGTAAACTCACCCTTTATTTTCCTCCGACAGTCCGAAGCAGAGTCTGGAGTTCATCCAGAGGCAAAGGAGTCAGGAGGACATGAATCTGAAACACAGACAAACAGAAACAGCAAAGGAGACGAGAAGTCTGGACAAGACAACGAGTCTGAACATGAATCGGACACGGAGACAAACAAGAACGGGAAAGAAGACGATATCGATTCGCTTTGTTTTTATTAAAGTAAAACTTAGACTGATAAATATATCCATTTTATAGCCAACTTCTCACCTTTTTCAGCAGGAAAAAGATTCTCTATAGAGAATAAAATGGATGAGGACATCCAAGGCTTAGACCCAAGGCTTAAGGCTGCTCTGATTGGAAATAAATTTGATTATCAGCAATGTCTCCCGATTTTCAAAGATTTAGTCTTTAATGTATTACAAGAAGAGGACGTCGACAGTAAGTACCTTTGAAAACTGGCCGCATTTTCTTCGCGTGCCACTTGATTCTCTCCAAAAGTAAAACTTCTTTTTTAGGAGTAGAAGATGCAACAAGCCGCCAGTGCATTCATCTAACCTGGACAAAGCAAAGGCAGTTCTCTCTTGATGACAAATGGCTTGAAAAGCAAGACGAACTTTTGTTTCCTCGCGGAAATGTACCAATTAAAGACCTTGGCCTAATTCTTTGCTTTTACATTGCAAAAATGCCGTGGCTCTTTAACTTAAAGCGAGCTGTCACTCAAACGGGCCGAAGGCCCGTTTTCCGATGGAAGCTTTATTACACCATGAAAAATCAGAAGGGAGCCGGCAGGCCAAGTTAGGCCCGCTCCCTGCCGAACCGAGTTGCCGATGGGGCGAAGCGGAGCTGGCAACTTGGTTTGACGGAAGAGCGGGCCGAGCTTGTTGATTAGTTACGTTATTTTAATCTGTT